ATTGATTAACTTTTATAATCAGTGAAAAATATTTATTTTGTTTGCTTCGAAACGAAAAATTATGCATACTTTTATCTTATGTCAATCATATTCCTATTTTGATTGTGAAAGGTTAGTAGCAACGAAGGTGAAGTCAACGAAGCAGAACATAATCGATAGTGCACTTTCATTTGTTCGTAAAATGTGGTTGTTCAATCAATATCGAAGACAAAATTTTCAAACATGTAAGTAAAACCAAAAATTCTTGATTACTTTGAAAAAATAACAAATCTAAATAAAATTTGTTAGTTTATAATTCATTAAAGATATATGTGAAAAAGATTAATCGAGTCTCTAAATTTTCAAAAACTCAAATAAGTTTGATTACGCTTGCTGTTGTTTTGGTCTATGTTGCTACGCTTGGATACAATAATCCACTGATACTACAAAATCAAGCAACACCAACAAGAGGTGTTATTGTTACACTTATTCGTAGTACTAATCGATCCATCTTTCTCACTATTAATATGATACATTCTATTATTCAATTTTATCCAACTAATAATAGTTATCTATATCCATTTATTATATTTTATGATGAAAATTTTACTTCCGTCATGCGTCATCAAATATTATCATGCGTTCTTAAACCTAAAAAAAAGCTACAAATTTCATTTGAATTTGTTAGTTTTAAAACAAAAGTCAAAATAGATCCTGGATCACGATTGGAGAAACGAATTGAATATCGTTTAATGTGTCGATTTTGGACATATGATGTTTTTTATCATCCAGCAATTCGAGGAAAATATGAATATTTAATGAGAATGGATGATGATTCATACTTTATGGAGAAAATCAAAATAGACATTTTGCATTATATAGATAATCAAAAATTAGATTATATTTATAGATCTGTATATGGAGAATCGATAACACCGATGGTTTCTATCATACAACGTTTTCTCAACAAAAGTAGTCTTCGACTTTCTTGTATTTATAATAATTTCTTTGTTATTCGATTGAAATGGTATTATGAATCAAAACAAGTTCAGAGTTTTGTTCGTGAATTGATTCGAGATGATTTAATGCTTCGACAATATATTGGTGATGGCTGTGTTCATTCAGCTATGCTTGAAATTGATAAGCTAGTTAGAGTACAGCATGTGACTGATATCTCATATGGACATAATTTTCATTTGATGCCGTCGGGAAGACAGCATTGGTCATTTCATGCACATAGTGCATTTTATGAAGAGATAAAAAAAGCATGTCAGCAGTTGACACTACTGACGACTAATCATCGATTTTTGGTGCGAATAAATATTACTAAAACATGAAATTATTAAAAATAAAAAAAAAAATACAATAATTATTTTTATTTTTTATCGTTATTTAGATTTTTACCGTCGCCTAATTTATATTTGTTTTATTATATATTTATTATTCTGGTTTATCAAATTTCGCTTCCGTTCATTGTCGATATCAACAACTCAACTTGATATATTTCTTAATTCAACATTATGCGGTCGTTTAATTCGTTATCCAAATATAATATTAACAGAAAGTGAACGTCTGCAATTAGATGAAGAAGCATCATCATTTTTTTCTTATTCAAAAGATTGTAGTTTATTTGAACGTTCAGTAAAAATTTCATCTGAAGAATTAACATATCCATTAGCATTTACTATACTTATTCACACAAATCTTGATCAATTTGATTTTATTTTACGAACAATTTATCATCGCTATAATTATTATTGTATACATGTTGATTTAAAATCGCCACTATCATTATATCAAGCTATAGAAAATCGTGTAAAATGTGTTTCAAATATATATTTACCAGAGAAACGTATTAATGTAACATGGGGTAGTTTTTCTGTTTTAGAAGCTGAACATCTATGTCAAAAAGAACTACTAAAACAATCACTAACATGGAAATATTATTTTAATTTAGCTAATACAGATTTACCCTTAAAAACAAATTTTGAATTAGTACAAATATTAAAATTATATAATAATCAAAATGATATAACTTCATTACCATATCGTTCATATTTACGACAAAAAAAAATTTTATCTAATCGAACATTACCATCAACAATATCATTACCATTTTATAAAGGTGAATTTCATGTTTTATTATCACGTTCAACTGTTGAATATATACATAAAAATTCACGTGTTATGGATTTATATAATTTTTTAAATGGAACATCAGTACCTGATGAACATTTTTATTCAATGATTAATCGTTGGAAAGAAACACCAGGTTTTTATCCATATGATCATGATTTAAGTCAAATAACATTTATGACACGTTATAAAATCTGGGGTGATAGACCAGAATATCATTTATGTCATGGTGGTTTTGTTCGTAGTATATGTGTTTTTAATTATCAAGATTTATGGCATGTAGCAACAAGTCCTCATTTTTTTGCAAATAAAATTTTCTTTCAACGTGATCGTTTAATACCATATTGTATGGCACAATATTTAGATATACGTACAAATATGATACAAGAAAAAACTAATTTTTCAATGATTGAACATGACTTTTATAAACAATTGAATAATGTTCGATATGGAAAAGAAAAACTATAAAATAAAATTTATTGAAAAACAAAAAACACTGAATGATAATCAATATGAGAAAAGTCTTTTTTTGTTGTCATTTATTTAATAGGGTCATGAAATAAACACATTACATTCGCACTTGATGGCGAATTTCTTTTTCGATCTACAATGAAATATCCTGTTTTTCCAAAATAACTATGAAAATGAAAGAATGAAAAGAGTTTTTCGCTAAACAGTCGATATACAAGTCGAATGGTATGTAAGCTGACACGCATAATATATATTAGCTACACCAGTTCTTTACTGACAGTTACAATGAGTGAGATCGATCAGGATGATTAATTCACTCATATTTTATTCTGCAAGCTTATGTGTTCGATATCTCTGTTATCTAGAAAAAAAAGCATTAATTTGATGATCAGAACTGTGAAAGATAATATTGAAAGAATCGTTAATCAATAATTTTTCCATAAACTTAGAATATATGAGTCGTAAAAGTATGATATTCGACGCAAGTTTTACACGATCATAAAAGTAGTAACTTCCAATAAAAAAAAGTATTGGTCTTGATTCTGGTTGTACTGGGACCACCTCGCTTATATCTGGTCTATGCACGTATATAACCTTACCTTTACCCGCGCACTTTCAATGCTTCTCTAAGATACTTTAAGACTAACATATTATGCGACAAATTATTTTCTCATAGTAAAAAGGAAAGAAAAATTTTTGAAAAAGTTCGAAAATATATTTGGAATCTAATTTAAGAGATCTAAATAAAAACTTTCAATCCAATAGAATACAACTTAATGGGTGCTGCGATGTGCCTAGATCCAATCGTGTGAAAAACTAGGCTTCTTCGTAAAAAAAACGCGGAAAACCTGTTCGCAATCTTTTTTCTCGAACATATTCTCCTTATTTTCGGTGCTCTATCTGTGGTAAAAATGTCAAGCAAATTAGTAATATCCTTTTCAAGAACCAGAAATGGTCAAAGAAAGTGTAAATTATAATCTTGAGAGTGAGAATGAATAGGACAAAAAGAAACTAAATGACTTACGCTAAGTCGTAATCAACTATTTATTCAAAATAATCTATGCAATACAACTGAGAATATTTGAAACTGTGAACATGTGTCCTCATTCAGAAAATTCACGCGTGAAAATAACGATGTGCCTTTTTTTGGCTGCTGTTTCCTTCTTTTCTCGGATCGACTCGCCGAGCGCTTTATACTCAACGAAAGTGATATACCAAGGTTGACCATCACAGCATCTATCCTAAACTGTATCATGTTTTCTTCTATGTAGGTGAGATTGTATTTGATATTCCGACAAATGATCTCTATCAGACAAGTAATTGTGGCAGAAGATCGATAGCAGCTCTTCCAGTACTATAAAATAGTTTATTACTTCACTTTCACCAAATCATCTTCCGTTATCTTCAGCAGAGTTCTAAAAAAATTCGTCTCAATTTGTCCACAAATACTTCTTATGCTATTGCAACGACTCTTGTATCCTACTGTGTATACCAAGAATCTAATCTGTTAATTTGAAGAAATTGTGTCAGCGTCAACAGATGACACTATGTTGCTGCTAACATTTTATATTCAGTGTTCTTTGTTTATTGGCTCTTATCTTCGTCTTTCATGTTATTTATAGTTATCGTTCCTCTTTTAAAGTATATATGTATATAGATTTTTCCCCCATGTTGTTTTTCCACTCTACTAGTTTTCCTATCCTCTCTTCATTCATATATACCTTTTTTCTGCCCAGTATTGTCATTATTATCTTGATTATTATCTTACCCATATGTATATTTTCAATAAACCAACTGATGCATTTTAAACCCATGATTGCATTCCGGTGTTATTAATAATCAAGATGAAGGTAAGACGTACTTAAGTAAAATGTCTAGCTGGATGCAGACTAGGGATTTACTACTAATTATATTTTTCGACTTACGTATATCACATGGGGAGAAGCAACTGATATTTAGCGGAAAACCTTACAATTAATGCAGAAGCTGGGCACTTATAAATTGTGGTCTGCATATAAATATATTTTCTTCTTCATTTTTTTTTGTTTTCTCTTGATTTGATAAGTAATCGTGTCATCTAAACGAAGCGTTATCATAGTTTCGAAAATATAATTATATTGATCTGTCTTCGTATACACATAAACTTATATTTTTCTTCTAACATATATCTATAGTAATTCATATAAATTCACTTACATTTCGTAATTCATACATATAAAAGCACATAATGACTAATGAAAACACGTTAATCAATTGCATTCAATTGAAAGAACTTTCAATCAAAGCCTCTGAACAAACATCAGTAGATCAACAAGCTTTCGCAATATCTACTACCGATAACAACCGTAGAAAACCTATTATTTCTGTTTCGCATCAACCTAAACATGTCGATAATAAGGAATCTTTCAATATTGAACCACACAGTAGTGAAAATGAAGTTGAGGATACTTTCGATGCCTTCATTTTACATAATTTTAAGTGGTTTTCGAAATAGGAAAATGCAATCGAATAGCTAGATGTCATCGATAAGAAACTTAATCATTTTAAGATTTCACGAAAACTAAGATTTGTCGTTGTGCCATCACTCATTGACGGCGATGCAAAACGTGAATATTTGTGAAACAGAAATGAAATAAAGTCATTTGACGATTTCTATGAATATTTGTTAACTAATTATGATAATACTAATCATAATACACATCGTTCTGAACTGTATTTATCACCCTCAGTCTTTACACCAAAATAGTTTCACTCAAACTTCATCAACACAAAAGAATAATCCTTTTGAAAGTCAACATAACTGCAATAGCAAGTAGCTTTAATTTTGCAGGTTGTTTAACATCACGTCCGATACTACGTTCGACAACACTTATTGATATGGGAGCCGCTGGTTTAATCGATGATGAACTCGAAATGTGATCAACTATAGCTCGCTCTCAAAATACCTAGATGACTAATAATAATTTTGATAAACAACTCATATACTTGGTAAAGTCATAGTAGATAATTTAATTAAGAATCCACAAATATTTCAAGCTGGTAAAGAAGATGTGAAACTATGGTTCGGAGACCTCGAGCATCTTTTCGACATGGCTCGAATTGAAGACATTTATAAATTAGATCTAATTCCATATTCGTTGACAGGAACGACTCTTCGTTGTTACAAAAACAATAAATCAACACTAACTTCATGGCAAACATTTATTCAAGAATTAAAAGAAGCATTCACTTTACATTTTTATGAAGAATTAGCTTTTAAGAAACTTGAATGATATACTCAATGAATATACCCACCTATTCGTAGTTTTTATAATGAAACTTTAAATTTTGTGCAGAAACTGATCTAGCAGTAATTGAATCTACCAAGTTAAAGAATCTTCTTGATAAAGCTAAATCAACAATTCAATTTGCAATACGAGAACACAACCAACGGCAAAGCAATTAACGAAATATGCTAAAAAAATCAAAGAACTTTTCAATTATAAAATATTGATACTACAGATAATAATATTAATTACAACTCGAATGTCCAAACAATATTTGCACAAACACGTACAAGCGTAACATCATCATATATTAATCCAAATATTCTCCCAGTATATATAATCCAAAAAAGTCTTGTAACGATTGTAATAATAATTATTATTATTTTACTAATAAATATTACTCTCACTTGTCTCAACCATCTGTACCATATAATTCATCTTTTCGACGAAATGCACCATTGTATTTATATAATTCATCAGTAAAACCCTTTTCTAAATTTAATTGTAATAAGTAACGATCTAATTTCAATCATAATTATAATTCATCGAGTAGCCAACCAAGATCTCTTTACAACAATTATAATAATCGTCAACATCATGTAAATAATATTACCACTACAAATTTATCAATCTCAACCGTTTCAACAGAATCATCTGCATCTCCTGAATTTTTTATTCAATGAAAACAAATGGGACATCAAGTATTCGACTGTACCAGTTTTTAACAATGAAGTGATCGATAGATAGTGTTGCTACCAGAAAACGAATAGAAATCTATCAAAGTTATCCTCAATATGTATCACCACAGTAGTTAGTAATCAGAAAATGCAATTTCTAATTGACATCGAAGCAACTACTACATTTATTAATCAAAGAACATTACGAACAATTAAACAATACACCCACACTAATCAACATTCTGATTCATTCGTTCTTGCCGATAGAATAGCTTTCTTGCAAGTACTAGGTATCCTTGAATTACACATAAAATTCGCAAACCAACTTACTACAAGACATACACACGTAGCTAAAAACATATGCACTGATGTAATTTTTGAAATGGTTTAAATAACTATATACAATCTGAAACTTGACAGCAAGAAATAAATAATTTCAATCAAACATCACAATCATTAATACAAAATGAACATTAGCCAGGATGTTCAAACACAATTCATTCCTGTTATTCTAACCAATCTCATGCATGTTCCTTCCAACTCAAATCGTCTTTCGCTATAGCTTCTAGTCCTATTTCCTCAAATTTTCACCGTGTATTCCTCATTATAAATCTTCTCTGCATATTTCACTACTTGTTTCACATAAATTAATGCAATTTTATAATCATTTTTCTCATATAACTTTGTCTAACATATCATTTCATTCAAAATTTATTAACCGAAGTGTATGAATAGAATATCTCTGTCGTTATTCTATTGCGCAATATAATCATGAGAGTTCTAGTTAATTGATTAACCCATGTGTTGGCGCCAAATTTATCGGTGAGTTAACAGATTTGCTTGGTTTAGTCTATGACAAGTGTTTTTACTGTTACGTCACTAATCTCTTTAGTTGCGCCACAACTCATCGAATATACACTTCTGAAAAGGACCTTCGTAAATTAACCAGAAAAATTATAAATAAACAACACTAAAATAGTCTTGTTACTCTTCTATTTCAGTTTCATCAAGTATTTAGTACAACCAACATAATATTGCTAATACGCCTATTCAT